AATAAATAGAAATGTGCATCATTTAGATAATCGAGTTGTACCAGTTATTGCTGACTGGCCTGGTCAGCTCTTTATTCGAAAGGCATTATATTCCAAAACATTATCCCCACATATTGAATCATTTATACCCATGTTGGGTTCCCTACATTTGTTACTAAACAGCCGAGAACAGGTTTTATTGGTGCACCATTCATTTTTGAAAGGTTATTTCACTTTGTGTTTGGTGAACATAAGACATTGGCAAAGAAGCCTTGTCCATGGAGGATTAACCTACTTTTAGAACTAGCACGCTGCGGCTAGATTAAAGTAAGGATAAAATTATGAGTAAGTTTGGTCAAATCTGTAAATATGTTGAATATCAGACCACAATCGACCTGCTTGATAATTTGGTTTCCACAACGCTTGACATTTATACCATTTTATTTCGAGGAGGATTGTTTAATAAGTATGTGGAGTCGGTTTTCCATATCTGGATCTTCGCCCTGCGTTGGAAAAGAAAAAACTACAATAAGGTACCCCTTATTTTTTTATCAGACCTATTCTATTGGAAAGATACCAATAATCCTCTTTTCTATGTAATTTAGGATCATTTACTATGTTTTAACGAATACTATGTAGAAAATACCCACAGTCGAATTAGGGCAAACACATCTCCCAATTTGACGGTTAATAATATAATAAAACAGGCTTATGTTGTTATGAATCATGATTCAGCATTTAAGGATATGTACCCAAGACAAGATGTTACCCATACAATGCACCAATGCTTAATTTTTTGTCAGACAAAACTAGTATTTTTTTATTACAATATTTTCGTGATGTGTATCGTAACCGTGGACAAAGCATTCTAAAATTTTCAAAAAATAACAAAAAAAAAAACTTCCAGATATGTACAGGCTTCCTACATTGGACGAAAATGTGGATTTGTGGCGTCTACCTACAGTATATAGTACATCGTATCCGCCTCATCCTGAATTATGTGACAGTTGCAAACTTCCATTTGTTAATGATCTTGGTATGGTGTTTGTATTTGGGCATAGCTATCATGTAGGTTGCTATAAGGGAAAATGTGTTTATTGTGAAGAATTCTATAAAAAAGAGATTTTCAAAAATGTGAAATCATTTATAAACCGAATTGAAAAAGGATCAGACAAATTAATGAAAGAAGACCTTGATGATGACGTTGAGACCGAAAAAAGTGATAAATGTTCGGAGGAAACAAGGGAAATATTAGATATTTCATTTAAGCTTGCTGTAGAAATTGGTCAAATAGACTATTGGTAACTAAAAAAAAAAAAAAAAAAATTAAATTAATAAACTCGTCTTGAGTCTAAAAAAGTTAGCCTGTGCAATTTAAAATGCAATTTTGTATGTTAAAGTAATATTTCTATGAAACTTGCACCTTGAAAAAGTAACTGGATCAGC